AATTAGAAACCCAGGCGGTGCACCTCGGTAGCCATGAAGGGGTCTTCTGTGGCCTGGGCCCTTGCCTTTCCTGGGTTGGGAGGGGAAGAGGGGATTATTAACAAGATAAAGGGAAAGGAGGGGCTGAGAACCCAGAAACTGTTTAACTTTAAAAATTTTTTTAAAGGAAAAATTATATGAGACCAGCAGTTAGCGTAATGGCTATGTCGCTGGACTCCCACGTAGTCGACCGAGGTTCACGTCCCAGACCCGGTGGCTTAAACTCATGCTGGGTGCAAGTGCGTGTGTGCCCAAGATCCCGAGAGGAGAATGGAGGAGAAGGAATTGCGGTGTGGCCATCCCCCCGGGGGGTGATTTATCGCTTTCTGTCTCTCTGTCTCTCTCTGTCTGTCTGGCGAGCATACACGCCTTATAGCAAAAACCTCTCCAAAAAATAAAAAAATTAAAAAAATAAAAAGAACTAAAAAGAAAAGGAATACTTACAGAAAAAAATGAGAAGACAGACAGAGGTAGACAGAGACAAATACAGATACAGAGACAAGAGGCTGCAAAGTCTTCTTCCTACCACATGAGTTTGAGGGCTGGAGGCTGAATTATCAGTGGAAAATCATTTCTCCTAGTCTCCTGAAATCACTAGTTCTCTATAGCCACGAAGGGGTCTTCTGTGACCTGTGCCCTTGCCTTTCCATGCAAGTTTGAGGGCTGGAGGCTGAATTATCAGTGGAAAATCATTTCTCCTAGTCTCCTGAAATCACTAGTTCTCAGTAGTAGGCATGAAGGAGTCTTCTGTAGCCTGTGCCCTTGCCTTTCTACATGAGTTTGAGGGCTGGAGCCTGAATTATCAGTGGAAAATCTTCATTTTTCCTAGTCTCCTGAAACCAGCTCCCTTCTTCTTTTCTTATGGGATGCTGGCATTTATTTTAGACATTCTGATATTATTCTATATGTGTCTAAGTCTCTTTTTTTAAATAAGGATTTTGATTGGTTTTGTTTTTGCCATAGGGTGCTTGTGCTTGCCAGAGAGAGACAAAGTGAGAAATCACTCCCCAGGGGGATGGCTGTGACTCAACCTTCTTCAACAATTTCCTACTGAGATTTTGAGCATGCATGCACACACCCCAGTGTGATGTTCAAGGCTCCAGGTCCAGGACTCAAACTGTGGTTGGCCATGTGGGAGTCCAGTGCCTTAACCTCTGTGCCACCTGCTGGACCTGGCTTTGTTGCTTTTAATCATTTTCATTCTCATCTTCATATTGGATAATTAATATTGATCGGTCTTTGAGTTTACTACTTCACTGCTATCTCAATGCTTTTATTGAGCCTAGCCAATATCTTTTAAATGTATGTAATATGATTTTTAGTTCTAGAATTATTTTCAGTTTTGCTATAGTTTTTGTTTCTCCACTAAAATTGTTTTATCCCAAAAAAATCAGTTAATAAATAGCTGATTTAAAATACCTGTCAGATACTTTAATGTAGTCATTCCAGAACTGATACCTGTTGATTTTTGTTTCAACAGGCAATCTGCCTGTTTAGGTTCAGACTCTTTAGCTCTGGCCTACCCTCTCTGGATAATTGTTTTAATGTTAATTCAGTTTTCAGATTGTCAGCACTCTGCATATGCTACTCAGTGTGTTTGCTAATTCTATGGTTAGTCTGAGACTTGAACAATGTAGTTCAGTTCTCAAACCTTTGTTATGGTTTTTTGGTTCTGTTTTGCATAAAATTTGTTGCTGAGACCAGGACTTGTGTTGGTTCATATATAGAATTAGGAAATCTCCTCTCATTTTATCTTCTCCATGATTTCTTCCATTTTCTCCATATACCAGGTGCCCTTTATCCTCTTTCTTTGGCCAGAAATATTAGTTTCTCTCAGAATGTTAGAATTTTATGCTGTCACATAGCCTTTGCACTATTGGTGCTGTTTCTGGGGTAAAGTTAAGAAAAGAGTGAAAAAAAATTGTACACTTTTTTTTTAATCATAGGGGCCTCTTTTCCTGCTTCCTGTAGCAAGGGAGAGAGGTATTCTCTTGATGGGGGCTTACCTTGGAGTAGGACTGGGAGTCACAAAAAAGAGTAACAGAAAAAGAAAACTTAGGTTTTCCTTATGGTTGCTGGATCAAAAGAATATCTATTCTTGATTCAGGAAAGTGAGATTTCTCCTAGAATTTTTGTTCATGCCTACTGTAGAGGTCCATGACTCAGTTTTTCCTCAAGTAAATTCAGGATATAAAAGTAGAGAATAAACACAGGAAATGCATCAGAATTATTTTTCAAATTTGAATGCACTCCCTAATCCACTGGCTACTGTTTAGTTTTCAGAGTCCTCAGGTAAGTTGCAATTTTGTATTCTGCCTAGAGCTTTTAGTCGTAAAAAGGGAGGATTATTACAGGTTTAGGAGGGTTATTCCATTTTGACTATCACCAAAAGCTCTTTACAGTTTACTTTCATTTTTATTTTTCTGTGGGCTCTTAGAAATGGGCAATGGTAAAAATCCGTATTTTGCTAGTGTACCTTGCTGTTGCTTAATTTTCAAACATTTTATTTCAGTGGTCATAGACTATCTGTAAAGGGACAAGTAGTAAACATTTTAGGCTTTGCAAACATAGAGTCTTTAACATAACTACTCAACTATGCTGTTGTGGTGCAGAAGCAGCCATAGGTAATACAGAAACAAATGACTATGGCTGTGCTCCAATAAAATTTTATGTGGAGACAGGCAGCAGATCAGATTTGGTTCGGGGATCATAATTTATAAACCTTTTATCTAAGTCCTCTTCATTCATTCATTCATTTTAGGTTTTTGTCATAGGGTGAATGTGCTCACTAGAGAGAGAGAGGGAGAGGGAGAGAGAGAGAGAGGAGAGAGGAGAGAAATTACCTCCCCATGGGGATGGCCACACCACAGTCCCTTCTTCATTGTCCTCTTGGAAATTCATGCATACACATACACATGCTGTATGTGATTTTTCAGGTCACCAGGTCCAGGATTCATACTGTGTTTGGCCATGTGAGAATTCAGCACCGTAACCTACATGCCACCTGCTCGTCGCTGAGTAGTAGTATTATTTTGGATAATAATTTTATTCCCATGACCACTTTCATCTTTCTCCTATAGTTTATTCTCTGTTCTATATAGTATCTCAAGATGTTTAATTGAACTGAATGAAAGAAGAGGAATTCACAACAGTACAGTTATAAAAGTCTTCCCATCCTAATTTGCTTTGAATATATGACCAGGGTAGATTTCTTCTGTGGCATTTTTCTTCCAGTCATAAATATTTGGTTGTGGAAAATTTAAGGAAATTACCTAGCTCATACATACATTTAGTATATGGTCATCTGTTCATTGCAAAGCTCTGAACAACATGAAGCATAATGCTCTGAAAATCAAGGATCCTTAAGGACAATCTGGACAGCATATTAATAAATTTGTTATAGGGTACATGTACTCACCAGAGACAGAGAGGGAAAGTGAGAAAGCAAGCTACTAGGTCCGAGACTGAAACCACAGTTGGCCATGTAGGAGTCTAGCACCTTAACTCCTGCACTACCTGCTGGCCCTTGAACTTCAATTTTTAAACACTGTTTTTCAGGTAAATGGTCTTAAAATGGTTGATGAGCCAATGGAAGAAGAAGCAGATTCTTGCCATGTAAGTACTCAAGTTAATTTATTAAGCCACATTTTTAGCTTATAAGGAAAGAGAATAATGGGAAAGGAGAAAAGCAACCATTGATTTAAAAAAAAAAAAACTTGGGTAAGTTGATAATAAACAAATGTGATTTTTTTTAAGAGAGTTTTTTTGTGTGTGTGTATGTAGGGTGCATGCACTTGCTGGGGAGATGGAGAGCAACAAAAAGTGAGAACTCACTCGCCAGGGTGGATGGCCATGCCACAGTCCCTTCTCCTCAATTCTCTTCTCGAGATTTTGGGCACATAGACATGTACTTGGCATGAGTTTTAAGTCACCCGGTCCAGGACTCAAACTGCAGTTTACATAGGAATCCAGCAATGTCACCATTATGCCATCTGGTGGTCCCAACAAATGCAATTATTAATACATAATCTATAATTTGAAATACAGGACAGATTTTTTCATCAGAAATGTTTGTGCATGAAATTTTTTAATAAACAATTGAGATATGATTTATATCATAAATGTCATTTTCTTAAAGTTTTTTTACTGTAGGGCGCATTTGTTCACCGGAGAGAGAGAGGAAAAAAATGAGAAATTACCCCCCATCCCCATGGGCGATGGCCATGCCACAATCCCTTCTCCTCTTGTCTCCTCTTGGGATATTGGGCATGTATTCACATATACCAGCACGATTTTCAAGCTATAGGGTCCAGGACTTGAATTGCACTGTTGACCATGTGGGATCTGGCATCTAAACCTCCATACCACCTGCTAGCCTAAATATGACCCATTTTAAGTGTAAAGTGTAATGGATGAAATTTTCACTTGCTCGTATAAGAATAACAATTATTTATTTTTTAAAAGAATTTTTTATTTAATTTTATTTATTAAATCATTTACTTTAATTTGATGAGTGGGGGAAAGTGTACAAGTAAGCCACCAGGTCCGGGTCTATTTTTTTTTTTTAGAGAGGTTTTCGCTATAGGGCGCGTGCGCTCGCCAGACAGACAGACAGAGACACCGAGACAGAAAGCTAGAAATCACTCCCTAGGGGGGATGGTCATGCCACAATCCCTTCTCTTCCATTCTCCTCTCGGGATCTTGGGCACGCACGCACACGTGCCCGGCATGAGTTTTAAGCCACTGGGTCCGGGACGTGAACCGCGGTTGACTACGTGGGAGTCCAGCGACATAGCCATTACGCTAACTGCTGGTTCCCCCGGGTCTTGAACCATGGTCATCCATGTGGGAATGTCCAGTGCCTTAACTACCACTCCACTCCACCTGCTGGTCCCTAAATAACTGAATTATTTAAGCACAAGATCCTATGACTTAAACTAAATAAGAGTTTTTTCATCTTCAGGGTAGAAAGGAGACCTAACTTGAAAATAATGAGTACAAGTACAATGCAAAGTCATTTAAGATTCATCTGCTGGCTTTCAGAAAGGATTAGATCTAAATTATTTCAGGAATTTCTAGTTAGTTTTAAAGATGACTGTGTACTAGACTTTCATGTTATAAGATCTAGTTTTACAGAAGGGAGTTCTTAAGATTTCCTGGAGAATCTGACTAACATAGGCATCTCCATTTATGGTGCTATTTTTTTTAACTTAAATTTTTTTTTAACATTATTTATTTATTTTAAATTGACCGGAGAGAGACAGAGTGAATGAGTGAGTGAATGAGTGAGTGAGAAAGTTGCCAGTTCTGGGACTCAAACCGCGGTCAACCATGTGGGAGTCCAGCGCACTTAACCACCATGCCACCTGCTGATCCCCAATGTTGTTTTATGGTTGTCATTTTTATAGATATTTTCATAGAATTATAATTTTTTTTTAACTGGAAGAGTATCTCAGAGACAATATTTTGCAATACCTTCATTTTTCATATTAGTATACTGATACCTGGGAGGCTGTGATTTATAGTAGGCATGTGATAAAACCAGCAAGAAGCAGAACCAAGTCTTATGACACAATATGCCTTGTGTTAGGCATAGACCCAAAGAGGTAGTATATAAGGTCTCTGTCCTTTTCTTAGTTATAGATGAAATCAAGCTTGATGTATTTTTCTCTTTTGAAACTTGTTCATAAATGAACTTACTAATATCTCAGAAGCCAGCAGAAAGATTTAAATTCGGTTTGTCTAAGATCTTCCTTCAAAATGTTCTGTGTAACTGTATCTTTAGATAGTGATTACATAACAACATTCTCAATATGATTGACAGAATAAGAGGTAAAATTTTGTCATATCAGCTTTTACAACTTATTGAATATTAATATTTTAATTTTATTGTAATTACATATAAACTTTTATCAAAATTATCTTGAGATTTATCTACAAATCATATAGGTTAAGGAGCATAAAATATGATTCTAGTTTATAAAATATAAAGAGTATAAGACTACAAAAGGTAGTGGAAAAAAGTGCTTTTATTATATTTTGGCATTAATAAATAAGAAAACACCATGCCTCACACCATAGGAAGAAGGTAACTAGTTTGTGGTAAATATATACACAAGGAGGTACAGATTTTACTGGAAAGACAGTAAAAATATACAGTGTTGGTTGCTAATACGATTTACTTTATGCAGTCAACTTGATAGTGAAGTTTAAAGTTTTGGAGAATAAAGGACCTAGAATCACTTCTATAGATTTGATTTAGTGTGTGGCCTGAGTTATTGGGAGTTAAAGCCATGTAATTTTAGTGTGATGGTTAAGATACTCAATTTGATCAGTAAAACTATATGAGTGAAGGAAACATAACTATATAAATTTAAACTTTTTAAAAAGATTTCCTATACAGGATTTTTTTAATTGTAATTTCCTAATCCTAGGAGATGCTGGCAGCTGTGGGTTTTGTGTGTGTGTATGTGGTTGGTCCTTTTTGTTCTTTTCAAATAATATTGGATCGTAGAGACTGCTATGTGATCCACAGATTTTGTTTGTTTGTTTTTTTTTTTTTTTTTTTTTTTTTTTAGGTTTTTGCCATATGGTGCATACACTCATGAGAGAGAGAGAGAGAGAGAAAGAAAGAATGAGAATGAGATACCTGCCCCCACCCAGGAAGGGATGGCCACTCTGCAACCCTTCTCTATTCTCCTCTCAGGATTTGGACATACACACACATGTGCCTGGCTTAATTTTCAAGCCATCAGGTGCTGGTCTTGAGCCACAGTTGGCTGTGTGGGAGTCCATCACCTTAACCACCTGCTGGCCCCTCTATAGGTGATTCTTATGTGCAGTTAGAATATTGTAAACTACTGTCTCCTTAAATGGAAACTAGCCATAATCTGCTGATATGCTACATATACTAGTTATTTGCCTAGGAATATACATAATTGCTTTAAAAGGTAATTCCTAAGTGTTAAGTTAATGTCAGTGTCAGTAAAAAAAAAAAAAAAGTTAAGGTTATAGAATCATTATACTCTCATTTCTGTTGAGTACAAAATGATGTAAAAATACCAACCATGAATAATTTGGAAAACTGTTTATAATATTTACAATTTAAGGATAAAAATGCTTATTTTATTAAATTTAGAAATAAATATTGGTAACACAAAAATAATTATATTCAAATCTGATACAATTTAGTTGGCCAAAATGAATCTCCTGTTTACATATTTCCTTTATATATTAAAGAATGTTTTTTAAAATGTGGATGTATTTTTTTCTGTTCTTTAAAAGGTATTTAAAAATAATTTTGAGGGTTTTTCATTGGTTAATTTTTACCTTTAAAATCTCTTTTTATAAAATTGGGAGGGTTTCTTTAGCTTTCTGCTTCTGTAAGATCAACCAACTATTGCACTCAACATTAGATATACAGTTATAAACATGTTTATAACTGGATTGAGGAAGCTCACAATCCAGTGTGAAAGAAGGTTAAGTAGTAAGTTATTGGGATGCATGATAATAATATATGGTGGCTTTTCGACTAGAAAAGTGATCTTTCTCATCTAATAGCATTTTCATGTTGGGAGATTATTCAGGTACTTTTGCTAAAAATTGAAATATATATTGTATCTTTAAAGGATGAGCTTAAGTAGTTTTTTTCTTTCTTTTCTTTCTTATGTTTTTGTTTTTGCTATAGGGCATGTACACTTGCCAGAGAGAGAGAGAAAGTGAAAAGTCACCCCCCAGAGGGCATAGCAATGTCTCAGTCCCTCTCCTCCATTCTCCTCTTGGGATTTTGGGCACTCACGTACACATGCCGGATGTAATTTTCATGCTACTGGTGCTGGAACTTGAACTATAGTCAGCCATCTGTATGTCACATACAGATTTTAATAAAGAGAAGGGTCAGTGGACAAACTGTCATTTGAAAGACTTGCTTAGGTTTGGTGAAACTAAAGCCATTTTCTAGTTCTGAATACTTTAAATTTTTTTCTTTTTAAAAATTTTTTATTTTAATTTATATTCAATCATATATAACTTAGCACTGTACAACATTGCTTTTCCAGCATGAATATCATGCATATCAGTCAAGACAAAGACATTACTATATACATAATCATCAGCAAATAGCTTTTCATTTTTTTGGACTATTAAACATACTTTTTTTTCCCTTCTCCTGTTGCCCTTCCACCCTCTATTACTCACCCTTTATTACCTCTATCCTTACTGTCTTTAGTATCTACTCTTGCCCTCCCTGCTACTATACCTTTCAAACTTTCATTTTCAACTATAGAGTGCAGACAGTTGGTAAACATTGAGTGATGAAATAAAACTTTCAAATTCTGGCTTGCTTCGCTTAGCATTAAGTCTTACATATTCATCCACTTTGTATCAGATGTCAGGATCTCATTGTTTTTTCGATGAGTAGTATTCCATAGAACACATATGCAACATTTTTTCAATCCAGTCATCTATTTTTGGGTATTTGGGTTGTCCATGTCCTAGCAATTGTAAATAATGCTGCAATAAACAGGAATGTACAAGTGTTTTTCCTACTGAATTACTGGTTCATATGGTAGTTCTATTTGTAGGTTTCTGAGGAACCTCCATATCATTTTCCAAAG